ATGACATCTAGCTCCTGTGTTCTGCGGGTAATGCTGTGTGGATGAAATGAGTTAGTTAGCTCTTGGACCCCAGCCTGGCTGCCTCACTACTGCTTTGCTATTATGTTGATTGTGAAGAGCAAATGTACCAGGCATGAAAACGGTTTTTCAGTTCTAAAGGTCTCCCAGAAGCAGCAGTTACTATGTTCAATTCCACAGTGAAGGTCAAGCAGATGTGTAAGTCTATAGCAACATTCTGGATCTGTCTCCATAATTTTGTAAACAGAGAACTGCTACATTTGTAACCCATTCTGTTATACCAATCAGCACTATAAGAAGGCTAAATATGAATATTGTTATTCTTTCCATCCCCGCTTGGGAATTAATCTACAAATCATGAAAATAACACACTACATATCCTCAGGAGAAAAGGGTAAAGAAAGAAAGAAAGTATTTCACTGTTCCTTGACCTTGCTGAGAATCAAAGTAGCCTGTTGCCTAACTGATATAAATTAAGATTAAATATCTCTCCAGCCTTCTAAAACAAACTCTTTATTTCTTTAAATTCTTACAATGAGAGATTCCTTTGAGCTACTAATATTCTTTTTTAAAGACACAAATAAGCCTGGGAAAGCTGGCATATGCTCACATTTAATCAGACTGTTTTCCTCCTGAATTGGACTTGGTGCATTTCTGACCAAGGAATTTTAGGAACTATTTTACAGGAATATTAACTGGGATCATCACTTAAGACCCATTAGTAATAAATGAAGCACAAAGTCAGAACGGGGTGGTGTTGACAGCACAACTCTGAGAGTCATGCGGACCAGAGAGAGTTTGAATCCCAGGAATATGGTATGTTGCAGAGTGCCACTTAAACTCTCGAAGTGTTAGTTTCTGCATGCATAGAGTTGGGCTGTTAATAACAAAAATCTGCCTCCTGGAGATGTGCTGAGAGTTTAAAAAAATCCAGCCTTCCTCTACCCAGCCTCCTGTGCAGGAATTAATTCTTAGTGTCCTGATTGAAATAAGTATCAAATGATTTAACGTCTTTCTTATGCACCTAGGATAGTCCTGGCTATGTACCCTCTTTGGGGCAACTGAGGAAAAGTTCACTCAAAATGGAGCTTTCATTTAGAACTCCTGTGGAACTCAGGTTGCAAAAGCCAGCAAGGGTCAGCAGCACGGCTGGTGGCAGACACTAAACAGGTGACCCTTACTGCTGTCCACAGGACAAGCTCAGCTGTAAGAGCAGGTGAAAGAACCAGGAAGTCAACTCAACTAAACCACTGTGTCACTTCAGCCACTCCACTACATGGTTGAGCATTAAATTCTTCATCTGAATAAGGAAATGTGCTCATTTCAAAAGGAGGCTTAGGGGGCTGGGGATTTAGCTCAGCAGCACTGCGCCTGCTTGGCAAGCGCAAGGTCATGAGTTCGATTCCTGGTACCAGAAAAACAAACAAAGAAACAAAAACAATCAAAAGGAGGCTTAGGATGACTTCATTTGAAACATTTTGCACCTGTTGAGTAGGTGGCTTAGGAATACATTTAATTCATACGAATGAATGGTGGTATTAAACAGTTGCCAACTTGGACAGTACCTAACCTGCAAACTTTAGAGTGGAAATAAAAATATATACTCCACAAAACACCTGCCTTTTGTCCCCCCCCCCCATCTAAGGAATAAATACCCTGAGTTGAAAGGTGTCTTCTGTCACACAAATATATTCAAGGGGTTGTCAATTACGCAGTGCCATGATTCCTAAAGATACTTCATTAGAGTGGTGATGGAGGACAGAGGGTATTAGATGCTCAGATATGACTTCGCCCTCCTCCAAAGCCCTCACAGATGAACTAAAACCCATGCTATGAGGGTACAATAATGATATCAAATGCATTTTTTGCTAGCTAACCTGATGTTTACTTACATAATTTACTATGAAATAGTCACCTTTAGTTCTGTCCTCTAAGTACCTTGTAAAATTCAAGTGCTTTGTGGCTAGCATGGGAACATGACCCCAATCATTGTTTACATAGGATATTTTTGTGGTAGGAGTTCAAATTGTCCAGCTTTCACACTAGGCTTTGGGAGACAACCACTGAGAAATCAGAAAGTCCTATCCTTGGAGTTAGGGAGACAGTTTCCGTGGCTAGCTTTTAAAAACGGTATAAGCAACCAGGCTCAGAATGAAGTCATGCGGGGTGTTCCCTGCTATCCCTGGGACCAAAGCAAGGGTTTGGTTCCTTCATCATTTAAAGAATCATAAACAGACATGAATGAAGACTCTATCTCATTATCCACAAGTCTCAAACTCGGCAATCATTCTAATCATTCAATAACAAAGCAGAAAAATAGAATTCTCTTGTCTCTTCTTTGACAGTCTTCTCTCAATTTCTGGAATTAAATTCCTATCGATACATAGATCTGTTAACAGAAAAATACAGTTGAGAAAATCCAATTTTTGGAAAAAAAATGGTATTAAGTGGCTCAAAATGTCTACTAACATTATGAAAATGCCTTTAAGTCATTTGAGTAAAATCAAATCAAATCAATGCGTGTAAAGGGTAACAATGACATATATATATGCATGGGGGGTGGCCTACCAGGGTCATCTCCCTCCCTGCTCCTCCCTTTGCTCTCTGTGTCCTGGCTGGCAGGGGTTGAGACATTCCCTCCCTCCCTGTTCTGCCAGGTTTCCTGTTTCTGCCTTGGGAACAGAGCAGGACTGGGAGAGTGAGCCAAAACCAACCTCCTCTCCTCTAAGTGGTAGGTGTTGGGTGTTTTGTCCCAGCAGCAATGAAGTGACTAAGACACTGTGGTATATCATCTCTACTCCCATTCTTCCCTTATCTGTTGGAATTAAAATTTTCCTGTGTAGATCCATTTACTACACCTCAGGTGTGTCTATTAAGGAGTGTCCACATTTATCATCCGCAGAATCCATTCCTAATTTGTCACATACTAGAAAAGAACATGACAGTACAAGTGTCATCCAATAGGGAAAACCCCTTCATTTTATGAAGGAGGAAGACAATGGCCAGAGAGTTGTGACTCCAGGTACTTCAGGGGTGCAGACTGGTAGCTGGCACACCAGCCTCTAGTGCACTGTTTACTGTCACACACATACACACACACGCACACATCCACACACAACACACTGCTCACATTGTTTTCAGAAGCACATAAACAAATGTGGTTTAAATTGAGGCTAAGAAAAAGTAAATAATTGCAGGTGGGGCTTCTAAGTAAAATACAGATGACTGTGAAAGGAACACTTCAGGGGAGCGCTGATGATGCCAACAACTTACATTCCTTGATACTCAGAGAGTAGAGCTAAAGGGGGATCCTGATCCTGAATCCAGTTTCCTGAAGCTATCCTCCCACACAGAAGCTGGGTATCTAAGGTTACAACAGTGCTGGATTGAAGTGTCAGTGGGTTTTTGTTTGCATCTCTAACTTTTCACAAGTTTGGAGAAAAAGTAGAGCACTGTGCGATTGTAAAGGTGGAAAGAAGAGAACGCCATCTACCTTGGGTAATCTCACACAGGGCACCCGCAGCCACACCCACCTCCTCTAAATGGCTATTTGTATCCTGTCACTCAGTGATTCAGACCCTGAGGAGATATGCACTTAACTGCATAGTCATCTGCGTCCAAGTATTTTAACCTGACGTTTTTGGTTCTTGGCAGTCTGCTAACACCTTAGAACTTCTACTTTCTGCCAGGGTGATTGGGGCCTCTCGGGCAGCACGTTCTCCACGCCATCCCCAACCCTACACTAAGCGCACTTCCCCAGAGCAAGGCTGTGCACTCCTTTCTTCTCCGCTCCTCATCCCCCCCACCCTCCCTGCAGCTAGACCAGATGGAGGAGGAGAATGCACAGCCTCTGAGCTGCCTCCAGGCCCAAATTCAGGGCATGGCTCTTCCTCAGCTGCCGCGTCCCCCGAGAGGGATGACACTCCGCCCACCCTGTCAGAGCCGGGCATTCAGCCCCTCCCTCAAGATCTTGGCCCCAAATCCAATCCACCTGCAGTCAAGGCAGGACCCTCTCAGCCCCCGCTGCCACTCTAAGAACACAGCCAAGGGAAAACCCACTCAGGTGCCATTATTTTTGCCTCCTTGGAAGACAGGTCTGTCCCTTCTCACATATGGTGTCCCCTTCCCAGATGGAAGGTAGGAGTGAGTCAAGGTGCCCATTAGGCCGGGAGACCTGCTCCTAACGCCACAGTGCCTACTGCTGCCGCGCTCCAGCAAGGCCCGGGAAACCTCGCTGCTGTCTCTTCACTCCCTGCACTCCGTGTAGTCACGGAAGCAGAGGGCACCGCTGAGGCAGAGCAATCTTCCACCTGGGCCTGCTTGCCCCCTTGCACCTGCAAGGGAATGACCTCCCTGCAGCCATCCTAGGTCCCACAGGGGCCTGGGAGCTGGGGCGAGCGCCTGCTGCCTGCTTCTGCTACCAACCCCTGCTCCTCACCCCGGGGTCACACCCAGGGGTCCTTAACCGAACCGCCAGGGTTAACCTCCCAGTGAAGGGAGTGCTTCCTCCTCGGTGCCTGTCTCCTTCAAACAGGAGGAAACAGGTTCCAAGTGTGCACGTGCGTCACCCACAGGTCCTCCGTAAGCTTGTCATCGCCCGGCCCTGCTTCCCGGCAGCTCCCGAGCACTCTCAGAGCCCAGTCTTCCTTCCTGGACGCCCATGTCCAGGAGAAATGAGGCGGCTTCCTCCCTGCAGCCATGCCAGCCTCTCCGAGGGTGGCCCCTGCCCCCGTGCCTAAGCCCCTAGGACCTGCTCAGGGCCAATAGCTCTCCCCTCCGCTTGGCAGGACTGACCCCTTCGGGCCCCCAGGTCCCCCCTGCACCCCAGGCCTCTGCCAGGCACACGGTCGCCCCACCTCCGGTCCTGAGGTCACCCTGGTCCCCGCGGGGCTGAAAGCACCCGAGACAGGTGTATGCCCCCTCCGGGCCCTGCCTGCTCTCCCGTCCCGGCCCCGTCCCCGCCCCGTCCCCGCCGCGCTCACCCAGGCCCAGGAGCAGCAGCAGCGGCGGCGGCGGCGGCGCGGTCTCGGCTCCGCGGCGCAGGGCAGGGCGGGCGGTCACCGTCCCCGTCCCCGCCCTGGTCTCTGTCCCCATTCCCGTCCCGCTTCCCGTCCCCGTCCCGCTCCCGCTCCCGCTGCCGGCCGCTGGGCAGACCGGAGCTGGCAGGAGACCGCGCGGCGGAGCTCCAGGGCGAGGGCGCCCCCTATTTATGTCCCGCCCGCCGCGCCGCACCCCACACCCGCTCGGGTGGCACCTGCGTCCCCGCCCGAGACGCCAGGGGTGGGACCCAGGACCCAGCCGAGAGCACAGAAGGGAAGGGGCGACGCCGGACCCGGGAACCAGACGCGACCAGGCCGGGACACACCTGAGTCTGCGGCCCCCGTGCCATCCCGGGGTGCGGGGCAGGGGACCCACGGGTCATCGTCACCTTCACAGCGCTAAAGTGATGTTGGCAGCGCCACTGTCTGCTCATAATTCGTCTGGGACCGCGGCTCACCAAGATCCACTTTAGAAATTTCATTTGCAGTGTCTTTATCCATTTGCTGTTTACTCACTGTAGTTATATGCACTTATTTTATTTTACTTCTTCTATAATTCTCTTTAGTCAGAGCTGTATAAATAAGAGCTTTTTTGCCTGTGTGGAGAGGTGGAATCTGGTGTTGGTGGGGCAGCTCCTTCGACAGACACACAGTGTTCAAGCACAGCCGCTTGCACCCAATTGGACCTTATATTTTTAAGATATTTACCCTCCAGGTAACTAAAGGTACAGGTGTTTTGCGCTGACCTGTGTTCCTCTTGTAAGAGCAACACCGGGATGCAGATGCCTTCAGAAGTATTTCTGTTGCATCAAAGAATCCAGTAAACATTATTATTATTATTATTTTTTGGTACCAGGAATCGAACTCAGGACCTTGTGCTTGCCAGGCAGGCACTTGTGCCACTGAGTAACATCCCCGGCCCCAGTAAACATTATTTTAGACACGAAATGCAGTTTGCTGTCTGAGCCTTCCTCCCACCCCGCTGTCGCAATGAAGCAAGTGCATCACACTCTTTCTTACACCAAGGACATTGCATTCCAAAACCAGCTCAAATATTCTAGAGTCCCGGGCAACAGATCCACAGCTTTTAATTTTCTAAACTCTATTCTGGCCTCACACAACAGCTCATAGAGCATTGGTACGGAGAGCAAACAAGAGCTTAGAGAACCCCAAAGATGGGGTCAAAGGTCATAGTTCCCCAAATGAGAGGGGCAAAGCTAGAAATTCACAGGTTCAGAATTGCTTCTAGTTCTCTGGGCTTTTCCCCCTCTTGGTATCAGGGTCTGAGTTAAAGCCTCTTTCATCCCCAGAGAGCACCCCAACCAACCGCTATCCTGTTATCCCCCACAAAGTGTTCCAGTCCTATTTCCTTTTCCACAGAAAAAAGAAAATAAAGCACTCTTAAGCAAAAAGTAATACACGTTTGATGAGTATTGTGCATTGTCAGGACTCCAGGTAAGTGTTCATCATTCACACCACGCAAATGGCAAATTAACTTTTTCATGCCGCTAGAGTATGAAATAGTGCAGTCTAATATAGTAAATAGACCCAAAAAATTAATAACCTTCCCTGAGGGCTTTGATTTCTGCCAGAAATAGAGAGTACTCCCAGCAACATGCCCTCTGCGTTTTCTGACACGAGACATCTAATCTCTTCAAGATCAAGAGACTTTCCTTTTGCTTTCTTCTTTTCTTTCTTCTTCTCTTTTCTCTCCTCCTCCTTCTTTCCTCTCTCCTCTCCTCTCCTCTCCTTCCTTGTAGTTCTCTCTCTCCCTCTCCCTCTTTCTCTCCCCCATCTCTACTTCCTTATGAAGGAAGATAAGTCTAGACTCTAAATATTAAGCCTGGAAAGATTGAAGGTAAAACTGATCATCCTGACCCCTCATCCATGTCAATAAGCTATGTCTCCATCCTTTAGACATAAACCAAACTGTTACTAAGAGAAGAAAAGGTCAAAGGCTCCCCAGAGTCCCCGGAGAGAACTTGCATCCCCAGCATCTCCAAGCAGATGGCTTGAATGGTGTCTACCCAGAGCCAAGACCAGGCAGGTATAACCAGCCCTCCCAAACCTGGTATGAGCCTCAAGCAGATTCCTGGGTGGCCTGGAACATTGGCCTTCTCCTCCTACCCAGAGCAGCCTGCAGCAGGCACATTCCTCCCCCTCCTCTGGACAGGACAAAATAGGCTTGCTGTTCTTTGTGGAACACATCAACAGACACACGTGTGGAGATGGGAGGGAAAATTTTGGAATGCATTCATTCTAGGTCAACATATTGACCCAATGATGATTATAAGCCAGAGATTTAGGAATGGGAGAGATGTCCTAGTGCCCACTGAAATTACTTAACTCAGTAAGAATGCATGAATGAGGATAAGGAAAGATTTTAAAAGTGCAATGTTGTACAATAGTAGTGAGTATAATGCTTTAGATATCATTAAAAATTAATAGTGTGCTATAGGGACAGAACTTACAAATATTTTATTTGAAACTAGTAAATTGGTCTGTAAGGAAATACCAATGAAAAATCACCACTCACTTGATTCTGTTTTAAACTCTAATTGGTAGAAAAGAGTTGTTACTGTTTTTACTTTTTCCTACCCACTCTGTGGTACATTCACTGTTAGTCTTTTGGGGAGCCTTGGTATTATGTGTGTGCTGCAATCTGTTTGATATGCTTTTGATATCTTTTTAAAATGCCAGCTCACTACAAGTCCAGCCAATCTCAAATAGAATCCTCTCAGCAACTGTAATGATTTGGGGCCATATTCATATGTACTTCAAAAAGAAGCTGCTGGTCTAAAACAAATCTGGACTTTTCTGCACATTCAAGTTGTAGATGACTTGAGTGAGTCCCTGGTTGATGGAGACCACTATGAAGTGGCTCTGAGTAGAATTTAATGTTAGCCAATTGGCTTTCCATGAATAATTGTGCATTGTCTGAAGCTTAGGCATCTTGTCTGGAGATGAGCAGTGAACTCATAGTAAGTGAACCTCTGTGAGTCACTGGTCACTGAGGCCTCCGCTTGTGAATGTGTGGCCCCTCAAAGGACAAGATAAGGCCATAGCTGAGAACATTTGGCTCCAACCCCAGTTAACTAAAAGGAGACTGTAGGTGCAGGCTCTACACTCCTACAATAAATGCCATCCTAAAGATAAGGTAGTTCTTTCTCCTGATTGACATAATTTACTACTTGGGAAAATATTTCCCAAGGTCCTGCTAGATTCCCAAGTTTCCTTGAGTATCCCCCTCCTTTGTTTGAAAAGCCAAATAAATATGAGCTGCCCAGAGGAGTCTTTGTCTTAACTCAGAGAATCTCAAATTTGATAAGAGAGTTAGACCCTCCTGGAGCCCTACAATCGCTTCAATTGTCTTGTTTATTTAAGCCTTCTCCATCCACTCATTTGGGAGATTACAGGCCTGATCAGCCTGCAATAATTAAGGGATATTAATTTGATACCTGATTGGGGTGATCTTAGCACTGTAATGTAGCACCCTTCCCTGAGCCCCCAGCAACAGCGGCCTCATCCCTCCCACCTGGTCCAGGAGCCCCCCATTGTAGATGCCCTTTTTGTGGGACGAAGAGGTGGAACATCATGTGAATAGTTCAGGAGTCTGTTCAGCCTGTGCGGGTGGGAGCTGTCGCTAGTGGACCAAATTGCAATGACTTCCCTCAGCCTCCTCTCCTTATCTGTCAAATGTGATGGCAGTGATTTGCACAGACTTCGTGATCCACAATGATGCATATCTCCAAGATGAAAATTTGCAGAATAGAAGTCATTCACTGAATGATGGTTGTTAAACAAAATCAGGAATTGGTTTCCTTACTGACCCTGTGTTACTCCTAGTTAAGAGGGAGAAGAGACAGCACAGAGTAGGACTGGGGTGGGAAATCAGCATGGACCTGAAATTCTATGACCTGGGGCACCATTGTGCCTCCTCCCGATCCCTTAACTCCTTGATCTCCACCTCTTCTGTTCCTCTCCCTTCCTCAACACTCTGGAGACCAAGACAGCATGTAACCAGGACATGATAACTTACTGAGCAGGGTCCTAGTCCTTTTTCTACTGCTGTGACTGAATACCGTAGCATAGATGGCTGATGGAGAATAGAGCTCTAGTAACTCTTGACTCTGTGGGCTGGAAAGCCTGAGGAACATGGCCCCTGTATCCAGAGTGGCCCCCTTCCTGCACTGCTATGAGGTGAAGGGTGTCACACACATGATAAGGCCAGTGAGCCAGCCCAGGTTCTCTTGTGTCTCTTACAAAGCTACAAATAACATCATGTTGCCCACCCTTGTGACCATATCTAGTCCTAATCACCTCCCAAAGCTGCAGCTTCAAACACTAGCACACACAGGTTTGGGGATTAACTTTCCAACACAGACACTTTCCTCAGAGGCATTCGCACCATGGTATCCCTCCCCTGACCAGCCAGGGCATGTCCCTCTTGTGCAACGCACACTCACTCAATCTCTATAGTCTCAAATGCTTCAGATCCATCACTAGCCCCAAACCCAAAGTCCAGTTTCATTTAAATGAGACACTGGTACCAGCCGCTCAGGTCTCCACGCTTGCTGCTCCCCATAAAACAGGGGAGGCCCTTTATTTTGGTGAAAGGAAAGGGACTTATTTCTAAGCCAGCTCTGAGGAGACGCAGGTGGTCTGACTGCCTGGAATAGTCATCTCCCCAGGTTCAGGGGTACAAGGAAGAGAGGGGAGAAAGACTACAAGGAAACAATACAGCCACATAGCATACAGCTCCACACTCCTGTGAGCCCCTCCTCACTCCTCTGTCACCAGACCTGGCCCCAGGTGGACCCCAAAGCTGAGATAAGGAACCTACCCCACCCTATTTGCAGAATAAGTTCGCAGGTTTGCTGATTCCCATAGCAGAAAAAGAATGTTTAGGATGCATCTGTAGGAGTTGCCAGAAGTGTTTTTATTAGGCAAAAATCAAAAGGGATGCGCTCAAAGAAACAGAGAGGGAGGAACACTTATTTCCTGATACTGGGAACATTATGCTTCTCTACAGGTGGCAAAACCGCAGGAAAATGTGGCCCGCCCTCAGAAGGTTGCTGGCCCAAAGCACAGGAATGAGCCCACTTGTTTTTTAAGATGGATAATTTAAGCCTTCTCTGTATTCTCTCAC